CGCGGTAAAGTTTTCCAAAAATGTTTTAATTTCCTCAAAAATACCAAATGTGGGGTACCACAAGGCGTTCGGGAATTGACCAGGTTTTGAAGGATTCCTGTAGTGCCGAAGGCGGATTTCATGCCTTGCGCCGAAGGGGTTATTCCTTCAGAGCCCGCATGTAGGGTGGTGTCTGTCCCTGACGTTGCACCCAACTCCTGGATTCTACGAGTTCTCTCGAGAATCTCTGCGATCTTCCAATTGCACTCTATTTTGATGCACCGAAGGCTATTTACACTACTGCCGCGGTACAGTTTTCCAAAAATGTTTTAATTTCCTCAAAAATACCAAAAGTGGGGTACCACAGCGTGCGGAGGCCGAATCGCAACTGGTAGTAATTGAAGACGATCGCAGGCGAGAGGCAGATCGCACGAAGGAAGAGATGGCGAGGCGAGTCGCCCACTGTCTCAAGGGCTACGCCCACTAGGAAGTGGCGGCGCAGGAGAAACTCACACTGCGTGAGTTAGAGCTTCGTGCAGCCGGGTTGTTGGCAGGTGACAGTCGGAGTCGGCGGCGGGTAGCGAAGAAGCTGGATTCTTTTCTATCGAAGGCGCGGGACACCATGTCCACCCTTGAGACGGAGGTTTCCGCGGTGTTGCGGCGATTGGGACTGCGCAGTCGAGCGGAAGACTGGCAGGGTAGGGAGTTAGTGCGCGGCAGTCCGTCGCGCAGGAGGCGAAGCACAGGTTCCGCGGAGTGTAGTGTAGCGTGGTGCCGTGCCTGCGTGTAGCGTAGTGCAGTGTAGTGCTAGTTAGGACTTAGAAGGTATAAAGTAGTTCAAGGCGTCTTGCCTTGGGATTTTTCCAGTTTCGGAAGTGCAGATCAGGAACTCATTTTCTCTGCGTGTTTGTGTCCTTAATTTTGTCACACAAAACTACACCTTAGCGATCCGCATCGTGTAGCTGAAGGCCTTCGGCCGAATGTTCAGAGCTAGTACATTGGTTAGAGACTTGAGTAGTTCGGACCTACACCTGCGGGTGATTGCCGATGCTCAGAGCCAGTGACGAGTTAGATACTTGAACATTTTCCCCCTTACACCTTTGAGTGGTTGTTTCTGATTGTACTCCTTCGGGATTTTTTCCCTGAATGCCAAAGTGAAGTTTTGCTACTTCGTGTAAGCCTTGGTTGTAAATTCAGGTTACGCTGCAGCAGGTGCCTTCAGGGTAACCCTTGTAGTATTTCTGGGAATAACAAGTGCCTAAGAATCCAAACTCTTCAATAGACTGTTATGGTGTGTTAGTGTAATGTTTCTCAGTGAGTCCTTCCGTGCGGACCTGTGTTCTCTACGCGTTTTGTGAGTTGAGAGTGTTGTTCACCGCGTATAGGTGACTTCGATCCGCAGTAGGAAGTCCAAACCGGGTTCCCTACGCTAGCAGGCAGCTAGTGGAAGGGTTGTAAAAGCCGGAGTTGGGAGTCACTACCCGCAGCTTCGCTGAGTACTCGCGAGAGACTTTCCCCCTGAAATCTTGAGTAGAGGTCCTCACGGATCTCTGGGTTGTGTTTCTGTAGTTTCAGGTATGTGTGTGTGTGTGTGTTACGCTGCACTGTGCGACCTCCGAGTGAGCTCCAAGTGAACACTTGCAGTATTTCTGGGAGTGACAGTCGCCTGAGAATTCAAACTCCTCAATAGTCTGTTAAATGTGACACTTTGCACCGTGTGTGTTCCTCTGTCCCTGTGGGTTCAACTTTTCTACCACTATATTGCAGTTTTAGCCTTTAGTGGGTTATTACACCTATGCGTAGGCGAAATTCTCGGCGGACTTCCTGCCGACGACAAACTCCTCCTGCCTATGCGTAGGCGCTCATCTTCGCATCTTCCGACAATCACAACTCCCTGAGTCCTCATCCGTTCCAGGCGTTCTTGGGCTCGTTAGAACGAGCGCGTCGAGCTCTTTTCAACAAGACCCTGAGCAAGTTGAGGCGTCTGTGAATTGCATAAATTCTGAGGGATCTCTCTAGCGCCGAAGGCGTACCGCCGAAGGCGGATTATGCGCCTTGCGTTGAAGGAGAACTCCTTCAGAATCGATCGTTCAGGTCGGCACCTGTTCCGGACATTGCGCCCAACTTCTGAATGCTACGAGATCCTGCAAGATTCGCGATTATCCATTTTCATTCTATTTAAATGTACCGATCACCATTTACACAGCTACTGCGATACTGTTTTCCAAAATTGTTTTAAATTCCGCACAAAAGCAAAAAGTGGGTTACCACATACTTCGAGTAAGCCTTGGTTGTAATTCAGGTTACGCTGCAGAAGGCGCCCTCGGGGCACAACTCTGTAGTATTTATGGGAATGACTAGTGCCTAAGAATTCAAGCTCGTCAATAGACTATTATGGTGTGCCACTAGATCTTTTCTAAGTTGAGTTTCTCAATTTGGACCTGTATTCTCTGCGTGTTTTGTGAGTTGAGTGTGTTGTTCACCGCGTGTGAGTGACTTCGGTTTGACAAAGATACCGCATCCGAAGTAGGAAGTCCAAACCGGGTGCCCTGTGCTAGCAGAAACTAGTGGAAGGGTTGTAAAAGCCGGAGTTGGAAGTCACTACCTGCAGATTCGCTGAATGTACTCGTGAGAGACTTTCCCTCTGAAATCTTAAGTAGATGTCCTAACAGACCTCTGAGTTATGTTTCTATAGTTTCAGGTGTGTGTTGGGTGAACTACACTGCACTGGGCGTCCTCCGGGTTGAGCACTTGCAGTATTTCTGGGAGTAACTGGCTTGAGAATTCAAACTCTTCAATAGTCTGTTAAACGTGACACTTTATACTCTGTGTGTTGCTTCTGTACCTGTGGGTTCGACGTTTTTGCTACTATACTGCAGTTTTAGCCTTTGGTGGGTTATTACAATGGATCTGTTCGCTCATATGCTTATAGGCAGGAGGCGAATGTGGCAGTTGATGTGTTTGCAGCAAGCGTTGAGGCATCACCAATCACTGTCTAAGGTGTACGTTTGGATCGACGGGAGCACTACTGTAAGGTTGTGAATTGTCTGTTTGGAGTGGAAATGGAAAATAGAACTGCATCTTTCCAGTATATAAGTGTTCAATTGGCGCACCGAAAGCTAAGACAAGTCAATCAGAAGCTGAAGAAGGTGTTGCTGCGACGTACCCCGCATCAATAAGTGTGCAGCGTAATGTGCGGAGAGCATTGCAGAGAACAACAGAGATGCGGGGTACATCGCAGCAACACCTTCTTCAGGTGTTGCTGCCATGTACCCCGCATGTTTCTGCTACCCAAAGCCGAAAGAGAAGGCCCAGCGCCAAGATGCCTTCCGGGTGGAGATGCCGCCAGAGGACATGTAAAGCACAACAAGTGATTCTCTAATGAGAATATTTCTCTCACGGCCACTTGGAATGCGCCGGGGGCCAACCACAGATCCAACGTGTTAGCCACTGGTCGACTGTGGAGGGCAATGCAATTACAGAAGAAATTCGCAGAAGACGAAGAAGCAAGTGCTCACATGGTTCACAGATTGATCACAAGGGAAGCATGGATCGCGATTAACCGAACCTCTTGTAAACTATATGCATGTATACGATTTCAAGTGGGAAGGCCTGTTATTGCATTGTTTCCGCGCGTGAAGTCAAAAGGTCACAAGCTTCAGCGGCAAGAATTGAGGGTGTTTCATTCCATGAATTTTAATGCGCTGCATTCATATGAAGTGCTAGTCCACACACCCACTCACACAGCAATGGTCATGGGAGCTGAGAGAAAAAATTGTAGAAAAGAAAGTGAATACTGCAGAAGCAGTAGTGCTTCAAATTGACCTATGCATGATTTATAGATAATGATTCTACATCTGGTCTTCGACTGAAAACACCAGACTGCATCTCCTTGAACTAGACAGAGTTGAATCATTCCTTGCACGCGACCATTATTTTAAGATGTTGCGTCAATTATAAAGCCCAGTATTTTAATCTTGCATGAAGTAACCATGCCTTGCGCTGCGTAGAGAATAATTGCAGCCCAGAGATCTCTCCGTACAAGAGAAAACTATGAGCATAATTTCACGACACAAGATAAAGAGTATGAGAGGAAAGCACTCGTTACGTATTCTATACTAAAGTTTGACATTTTCTGCATTCTAATAATAGTCAACAATTTCTCTCTTTGCTTCTACATCCACGTGAAAGGTCAGAGCTGCCACTGCTTTCGCCAGCTCGCTTTATTCTGCTCTCGAAACTCGCCTTGGGTTCTCAGATACGTACGTTGATCATCAGACATGCCCCTGACGTACATGATATCTTCCGAAACCTCAGTGATGATTATATACTTCTTTTGCGCTGATGTCGTGAATGTGACTTAGCAATTTGTAAAATATTCGATTTTCAATCGAATATTTTACAGTCGATCTTCGTAAGTGAATAAAGTCTGAGATTTCGTGAGCGAGTTCACATCAGTGGGTGTTCTCTCCTGGAGCTTGGGACTTCGACGGTGTTGGCTATCCCATGGCCACGAGTTCATCACCAGTCTATTCTTAATTCAGCCCAAAGCTCGAGGTATATGGACGTATGAGATGTTTCTTTGATTGTTGGATGTATAACGTCTTCTGATTGCTGGTCATGTATCTCGTTTGTATGAGCTGAAAATTTTGTATCTAGCTGCAACCGGAATCTCGTCTCCGCACTTCCATTTCCCTCTTCGTTGGTTCTTCATCTGGACTTGCATTATTGTTCACCTCACAAACTTGCGATCCAGATATCATTGTAGAACTACCACTTCAATCTTTTGCATCTGACATTAGCTACCTGACAGTTCCCCCACGGGAGTTCAGTTGTAAGAAGATCTGTGATGAACCATTTTGATGAAAGGAAATTTGCTACCAAATCATGACATCGCTGATGTTCTCTTCAGGGAGGAGTCAAACGTCAAATTTCATACTTTTCTCAATCACAGAGGGCTATTCTTGAGATCTTAGAGATCCAACAACATTTCACTGAACGTTTAAATCGTTTAAATCATCATGGCATCCACTGTAGCCCTAGTTCTCTTCATTCAATGTCTCCTTTCCATTCTGCTGACAACCACTCTAGCAGCACCCATCAATATCACCCGGGAAACGTTTAGAACGTGCCGTCCGGGGAATTGGGTCGGAATTCCATCTGATTGCTGCCCTCCCAAGGTCATAAAAGGACCCATTGTAGATTTCTGCCCGCAATACGATGCTGCTAAGCCTTTGAGGGTCAGGAAGGCATTACAATGTCTCAGTGGCCATGAGCTGAAGACCTATACAAGGAAGTTGGAGAGAGGATACGCTCTGATGCGGGCTCTTCCAGACAGTGATCCGCGGTCGTTCAAAAGGCAGAACGCGATTCATTGTGCATACGGGACGGCCTCCTTCATCCAGGATGGCTCCACCAACCTCACCATAGACATTCACTTGAATTGGCACTTCCTGCCCTGGCACCGCATGTTCGTGTACTTTCACGAGAAGATTTTGCAGAAGTTACTCGGAGATCCCGAATTCAGTCTCCATTTCTGGAATTTCGACAACAGCGTCACAGCGAAACCAAGACATGGATCCCATGGTTGCTACAAGGCTGGTCATTTCGTGCCGCCGATGTACAACGATCCGTCGAAAGCAACATTTGAAGCTAATCGCTCTTTCATGGCCTTCGAGCCCAATAGGGCCGTGGACTTAGCGTTCGACCTTTCGCAGTGGAGCCCTGTACTGGGCCCTCCCACCTTCCCCAATAACACCGTGGAGGAACAAACGCGGATGAACAGAGAAATCATGCACAGATCGATGATCACCCTTGGAAATACCACCAGCTTCATCGGGAAGCCTTACAGAGTCGGCGACGCGCAAATTCTGATCCCAGCTGCAGGAGCTGGTACGATCGAGATGTTGCCCCACAATACGCTGCACGCTTATATCGGAGGATGGATGATGCAGCCCGGTACTGCGCCCATCGACCCCATCTTTTACCCATTCCATGCAAACATGGAGCGACTCTGGAGCGTGTGGCGCAAGCTGGGCTACGGCAATGACGATCCGACTGACCCAGACTGGCTCGATGCAACATTTCTCTTCTGGGATGAGAATGCAGTGATGAGGCGAGTCAAGACAAGGGACTTTGTGGATTTGAATGCCCTCGGGTACAGGTATGAGGAGGTGAATGACGCGAGTTGGATCTTCTTCGACAATTCCACGAGCCCAGGTGCCCCTTAGTGCATAGGTAGGCAACGCGACCCGCGTTCATATTCTTGGAAGCGACGACGAAGTTCGTCGTCGCTTCCAGTTCGTCGGACGAACTGACGAGGAATAAGTAAAATCTAGAGTGAGGATAAACACATTTAAATTCAATGGCCTTGTGTCGACTATCAGACTGGGAATAGTCACACAGGTGATGAACAGTAGGAGCAGGAGATTTTAGTGAATAATCCCAGGCTAATTTGTCATAACTTCCATGCAATTTGTAAATTGTTCCAACCTTTGAATCGAGTTTCGGCAGCCCATTCTGATTGGTCGTTAAACTTCATTTGGAAAGTACTTGCATGTTGTGTAGAGTGTAATCTTCAAGTTGTTTGGTTGTAAAATTGGCAAACCGCAAGTCTTTTTGCCCTCCTTTCTTCTAGGCTTTGTTGCTCTCTGTGAATATTGTAAGCCAGACTGATCTCAGGTGGTATATACTCAGTTCAGTCAGAAACGACAGAGCAGAGTAGTATATTTGTCTATGTTACCTGATCAGGAAGGTCATCAGATGAGCTTCATGCAAAATCTTACAATCTTGGCTGGCTATTGAGGTCTGAAATTCAAAACGATGTTACTAGGAGCAGAAAACTGCATATTCTTGCCTCTATCACGAGGAAGAGAAATTAGAAAGAAGATCAGCACGAAAGTCGCATTGGGTTCTCAGATCCGTACGTTGATCATCAGACATGCCCCTGTCGTACATAAAATCTTCCGAAACTTCAGTAATGATTAAATAATTCTTCTGCGCTACTGTCGTGAATGTGACTTAGCGATTTGTAAAAGATTCGATTTTCAATACTATAATTTTCACACTCGACCCTAAAATCAATAAATTCTGAGATTTCATGAGCGAGTTCACATCAGTGGCTGTCCTCTCCTGGAGCTTGGGACTTCGACGGTAGTGGCTATCCCATGGCCGCGAGCTCATCACCAGTCCATTCTTAGTTCAACCCAAAGCTCCAGGTATATGGACGTATGAGATGTTTCTTTGGTTGTTCTATGTAATACGTCTTCTGATTGCTGGTCATGTATCTCGTATATACGAGCTGAAAATTTTGTATATAGGTGCAACCGGAGTCTCGTCTCCGCACTTACATTTTCCTCTACATTAGTTCTTCATCTTGCATTAAAGTTCACCTCACAAACTTGAGATCCAGATATCATTGTGAAATTGCCACTTCTTCCATCTTTTGCATCTGACATTAACTACATGACATTGCACCCTCTCGTATTCAGTATCGAGAAGATCTGTGATAAAAGATTTGATTAAAGGATATTTACTATGGAATCATGACTTCGCTGATGTTCTCTTCAGGTAGGAGTCCAGCGTCAAATTTCATACTTTTTTCATTCACAGACGGCTATTCTGGAGATCTTAGAGATCCAACAACATTTCTGGACGTTCTAAACATCATGGCGTCTATTGTAGCCCCGGTTCTCTTCATTCAATGTCTCCTTTCCATTCTGCTGACAACCACTCTAGCAGCACCCATCAATATCACAAGGGAAACGTTTAGAACGTGCCGTCCGGGGAATTGGTTCGGAAATCCAGCTGATTGCTGCCCTCCCAAGGTCATAAAAGGACCCATTGTCGATTTCTGCCCGCAATACGATGCTACTAAACCGTTGAGGGTCAGGAAGGCCTTACAATGTCTCAGTGGCCATGAGCTGAAGACGTATACGCGGAAGTTGGAGAAAGGATACGCTCTGATGCGCGCTCTTCCAGACAGTGATCCGCGCTCTCTCAAAAGGCAGAACGAGATTCATTGTGCCTACGGGACGGGCTCCTTCATCCAGGATGGCTCCACCAACCTCACCATCGACGTTCACATTAATTGGCACTTCCTGCCCTGGCACCGCATGTTCGTGTACTTTCACGAGAAGATTTTGCAGAAGTTGCTCGGAGATCCCGAATTCAGTCTTCATTTCTGGAATTTCGACAACAGCGTCACAGCGACCCCAAGACATGGATCCCGTGGCTGCTACAAGGCTGGTCATTTCGTGCCACCGATGTACAACGATCCGTCGAAAGCAACATTTGAAGCTAATCGCTCTTTCATGACCTTCGAGCCCAATAGGCCCGTGGACATAGCGTTGGACCTTTCGCAGCTGAACCCTCTACTGGGCCCTCCCATCTTCCCCAACAACACCGTGGAGGAACAAACGCGGATGAACAGAGAAATCATGCACAGATCGATGATCACCCTCGCAAATACCACCAGCTTTTTCGGGAAGGCTTATAGAGTCGGAGACGCGCGAATTCTGATCCCATCGGCAGGATCTGGTACGATCGAGTTGTGGCCACACAATACGCTGCACGCTTATATCGGAGGATGGATGATGCAGCCCACTACTGCGCCCATCGACCCTCTATTTTACCCTTTCCATGCGAACATGGAGCGACTCTGGAGCGTGTGGCGCAAGCTGGGCTACGGCAACGACGATCCGACTGACCCAGACTGGCTCGATGCAACATTTCTCTTCTGGGATGAGAATGCAGTGATGAGGAGAGTCAAAGTGAGGGACTTTGTGGATTTGAATGCCCTCGGGTACACGTTTGAGGAGGTGAATGACGCCAGTTGGATCTTCTTCGACAATTCCACGAGCCCAGGTGCCCCATAGTGCATCAGTAGACAACGCGACCGGCGTGCATATTCTTGGAAGCGACGACGAACTGATGAGGAATAAGTAAAATCTAGAGTGAGGATGAGCACATTGCAATTCAATGGCCTTGTGTGTCGACTATCAGACTGGGAATAGTCACACAGGAGATGGTCAGTAGGAGCAGGCGATTTTATTGAATAATTCCAGGCCCATTTGTCATAAATTCCATGCAATTTGTAAATTGTTCCAACCTCGGAATCGAGTTCCGGCAGCCCATTCTTATTGTTCAAGCCCGTTGAAATTCTTATGGAATATATTTGCTTGTTGCGTAGAGTTCAATCTTCCAGTTGTGTCGTTGTAACATCGGCAAACCGCAGGTGTTTTTGCACTCTTTTCTTCTTCGCTGTGTGTGCTGTCTGTCAATATTGTCTGACTGACTGACTTCAGATGGTATCCACTGAGTTCAGTCAGAAACTACAGGAGCGGAGTAGTATATATGTCTATGTGACCTGATCAGGAAGCTCATCTGATTGTCAATGCATTCAGTCGTTGTCATACGTCGTGAATTTTCCTCCCTCGACAATGACCAGAGCATGTGGACTTGTATAAGATTTCATCTACAATGCTACCTGAAACTGCGAAGTTATTAGCTGCAAGGTATACTGCCTCGATAGACAGGTTTCGTACTGAAAGCTCAAGTTTGATCGCGCTATTGTAGACATTCACTTTCCGGGAAGTGGAGAAAATGATCATGAATTATAGTAAAATGTGATGCAGGCAGAAAGATCCAGTTGTCTATAAAGTTAGAATCTTGCTTCAATGAGGCCATATAACATGAGGTGAAGAGGAAGGAGAAAAAAGCGCACTACAAGCTTCATGCAAAAAATAACAATCTTGGCTGGGTATTGACTTATGAAATTCAATACGATACTATTAGGAGCAGGAAACTTGGATAGCGATGATTTTCCACGGTCCGTACCACTTCCTCTGTTACGAGCAAGAGAAATTAGAGGGAAGATGCCTTTCCACGGTCCGTACCACATGCATGAGCATGTGGTAGGGACCAAATAAAGATTAGCATCAAAACAAAGTATGGACTCTAAGTACAAAATTCTCTTGTTTTCTTCAAAAATATTTGAATTTGAATACTCTTTCAAGAAATATGGATGTTCCTTTTGATATTTGAAGATGTTTTTTCTGTTTCAGCATTGAAAGATTGCTTTGTAAGGTGACATTGTTTGGAAATGGACACGCTAATTCTATAAAAAATTCAATGAGAAAAAAAGTTTCACTAAAATCAGATAAGACTTGTCTGTCAAACGATTTAAGGCATGGTGAAGTACATGTTCATGGTACACAAAGACCAAAAGCTACATATATTCATCCACTATATGAAAAATGCACTTTTGTGGCTAAGAAACTTCTAATAGATCTTGATATTTCAGAACTACTTCCCGTTGTTTTAAAAGCTGCAGATTCATGAGGTAATAAAAGAAGCAAAATGATGCAACTCGCTTGGCTGAACTTTGACCTTGATGAGATTGCAAAGTGCTTCCGAAATATGTAAAACTTCAAGCCAATCCAACCAAACACTTCTAACAAGCTTGTCGAAGGATTGATTACTTGCAATGAACACGAACAGGTGTTTCTATTGAAAACGGAATTTTGTGACCTACAACTTTGTATGGTCACTTTCTTGCGGGTTTGGTGAAATCGTCGGACTTCATGCAACAAATTACCAAAATTGTAATTAAATTAAATAATGGTGCGAGCTTATTTTTAACAGAAACTATTTAAAAGCTTTTAACAGTTTAAGAGCTTTTAACATTAGGAATGTTGAACTTTTATCACTCTCTGATTACGCCACGTAGATGAAAAAAAATTATTATTCTTCTAAATACGGAATTTTTTAAAACCAAATACGGAACATATGGAACTTCGTTGACAGAAACTCGTATTTAAAGAGGCTTGTGGATGAGTAATGCGTATGAGCTTGGACGCATGGGTGGGGACTATCCATCCATTACCCACTCTCTCAGCTGATTGCTTCTATGGCACTCAATGTGTTGAATAAAACTCAAAAGTATTCTCGCCTTCTGGAAGACACCTCATCATTATTGTACTTCCACCCATAGCTCAAGCTTGTTTTCTCATGGTTCGAGAGAGTGAGAGCGAAGATGAAATAGACACTGATGAATATAGCCCACATAGCTTTATAGTGATTAATTGTGCATAGCCCTTACGGATACTCTCAGTAAAAATGATCAATTAAGGGATAAATTAGATTACCTTTCGATATGTCACCTCATCGATAATGTGATATGAAATCTTGTCTCATAAATTAGGGTATTCTCTGCTCCGTAGAGTTAAAA